TACGGATCACCAACAAAGATGTAGGCACATTGCTCTCAATTGTTTCAAAAGACATGTTTAGGCTAGTGCAACAAACCCTAGTGCACACTGAAAACACAGACATATCATAATTAGAAAAATATGAACATATTCCAAGACAAAAATACAAGTTAGTAGAGATAGCTTATATAAATGTGTTGTAAAAAAGTTGCAGGAGACAAACACAGGAGTACATTTCTTGGAATTCAAAACCTATAAGATGAGCGAAAAGTCTCAGTGGTTCACCTGTGGAGTAGTAATAGCAAACTGATAAGAGTCAACATTAACCCGAGTGCCAAAGAGGACATGGGGGTATTTCCAGAATGTAGAATACCCCCTATAACCAACAATTAATATAAGGCAACAACACATGATGCACCACTTCTGAGCAATTAATGGAAATACATAGAAAAAACACGCAACTTTGCACCTGCAGGACACAAATAAAAAAGTCATGGTTGTCTGTAATACATATGAATATAAATCATGTTTTCCTTATAATAATAATAAAAAATAACAAAAGGAATCAAATTCTCAATCTAAACGACTAACAAAACTATGTAAAGCAGTATACAGATATGAAAAAAATGTGAATTAGGTTATGGGTTGATTATTTTTAAAGACTAAAGTGCAACAGGCTATCATAATATATGTCGAGGTATACAATCTGAAGATGTTTAAGATAAACAGCCTTATTTAATAAAATGTCACAAGGCATTAAGGTAGACACTACTGTTACTGCAAGTGTCTGCATGAGGAAAATGACCCCGCAATTACTGGATTTCACAAATGCAACCCTACCCCTGCAGATATCAAAAGATTCAGTAAGGATTTAAATACACCTCGTTATACCTGGCATATCTACTAACTTACTAACTCCTAATCTTTGTAAACCAGAGTCTCTGGATCTGGGCTCGTGAAAGGCTTATTACATTTTTCCAATGAATGATTTTATACCAAAATGAATAGTTTAAACTGAATGCTACAATTTTACCAGATGCAGACCGGTAAAAATTAGATTATACAACAGCTAAAATAAAGCACTGTTCAGCTTCAGCAGCATTGTCATGTAGGAATGAACCGCATGCACATTAGACATTAGGGCTAATGGTTTTATATGCAAGAGGCTATACTGTCCATCTTTGATCTACAGTGTAAATAGTGTTATAACCGTTATTATACTCAAATAATTGAAGTCAACCAGTCTTTCCAGATCTTTAAAAAACAAATGATATAAGCAGTTTCTTACAAAAGAGTTTCTCACAAAATATTTAAAAAAAAGAAAGGGTTCAAATCAGGGGCGTACTTAGAAATCACAGGGCCCCAAAGCAAAATGTTGTATGGCGCCCCGTGATTGCTAGTTATGCCACTTGCAGAGCCCACCTGATATACCAAACAGCCCACCTGAGAGTGACTCTGCAGAGCCCACCATAGACTCTCTAGTGGGCTCTGCAGGGTCTCAAATGGGCTGCACACCTCTAACCTGTCAGCGCTGTCCACCTCCGTGGTCGCCGGGCCCTGCCTCCTCTTCCGTCCCCGACTCCTCTTCTATCGACGGGCCCCACCTGCTCTTAGGTTGCTGGCCAGTGATGCAAGAGGAGACGGGATTGCTCTTAGGCGGGCCCCGCCTCCTCCTTCACTCCGAACGCCGGCCTCTTCTGCCGCAGCTGCTGGCTGTCACTGACACAGCTCTGCAGCGGCTGTTCCTCTTCACAGCCGCTGCTGAGCTGCGTCAGTGACAGCCAGCACCCCTACATGTCATAGCGACCCAGGCAGCCCACACGGCATCAGAGGGATGCCCTGGCTGGGCCCCGCTGTTCCCAGGCCCCATAGCGGCCGCCTGGGTCGCTATGGCGATTGTTACGCCACTGGTTTAAATACTTTAGATTCCTGCACTTCATACAGAAACACTTCATAATGTACAGATAAGCAACATGTAGCGTTCTTCTCATGGTGTAACAACAACAACAAAAAAAGCCTCAGTAAGACCTGTCAATGATGCCAGATGAAAGCAAAGCAAGCTGGTGAATGGGGTTTTATTAATTGTGAAAGATCACAGTTTGACTCCTTCTGACAGACACTAGAATCAGGGGCGTATCTGCCGCGAGGCAAACAAGGCGTTTGCCTGGAGCGGCAGATTCGCTGTTGCTGTATGAGCAGCGGCGGGTCAGTCAGGGGAGGGGGGATTTTCCGAGAAGCTGCGGGGGAGGGGGCGGCGCTGCTGCCTTGCAGCAAAGTTAAATACGCCGCTGACTAGAATGAAATGATGACTTGTCAAATTCTAAACATATATAGGCTGATTTACTGAAGGAGTAAAGCCTGTTTATCTAGTAAAGTGGATCTTTACCTAGCTTAGTAATAAAAAGATGAAGTGGTGTTCATTTTAAGCACCCAATCATGTGTGAGGGAAACTAAAAAGAAAACCAGATTTTTTTTTGCACATGATTTGATGATTGAAGTGAACAAATCTTTACCTTATTCATTAAAAAGTCAGTGGACATTCACTTTCACAAGTAAATCGTCTTTATTGCATTAGCAAATCAACCTCAATGTAGTATTAGGTTGTAAAGCAAGCATGTAGTCAATTGCTCTGGATGAAGCCACAATAGGAAAATCGACCCCAGATTGAACAGAACAGAGCAAATAATAGACATAAAACCAAAACATAAAACCTAAGGCCAAGGTACATCAGTGTCGGATCACACCAGCTGTTCCTTTTTGAGCCTCCATTGTTGAAAGAAAACCAAAAAAGCCAGACTGGAATTTGCTAAAATGCATATTGACAAGCCACAATGTTTGTTGGAGAATGTTCTTTGGACAGCGGAGCCAAAACTGCTCCTTTTTGGCAAGTCACATCCGCTGTATGTATCCTATGTGATATTTGGATTCATGATAAATTGACCCTACTGTTGCATATATCCACCCATAGAAATTTGGTTTTCATATTTAATTAGGTGCTTTGGGTAGGGGTTGGAGTAGTTTTCTCAACAGCTAAATGTATGTTCCAGGGCAAGGATTCGGTGAGACGTTTCAGCTTCACTCCTTCAAAACTAGTATTAAGAACCAGAGTCAGTAAATGGCTGTTTAGTCACAGCCTAAACACATAGGTGTTTGGCTTCTGCACAGATTTCATTTATTGTTAGTCTGTCAGAAGGTGATCAGAACTGCTACAAAGACAAATTGCAGACACAAGTATGTTCGCTAGTATTGAACTGGATTTCTGTGGGCCTGGGGGTACTCAATTCCTGTCAACTAACAATCAAATATGGACACCTGTATGGCCAGTAGGGCCTCACACTTTAGATTGTAAAATGGCAGGGGTTAGGCTTCATGCTATAGATGAGTAGGGAAAACCAGAAATCAAGGCTCTATGTATAGTGTACCCCAGGGGCTTCTCAGAGCACAGAAACATAGCTGAGAAGCACTAGCTGCCTGCATTTTGACACGGTTGTTAAGCCTCATCCACTTTGCTCACCAAGTCATTTAAACAGGAATTAGAGGTAGGCCTAACAAAATCCTTGCCTCTTACTGGCTATATGGTGGACCATGTCAAATCACATTACTACATTCAGGTACACACCCTACATTTTCCAGTTTCATACATGTGCATATTAGTACACAAACAAGCAGGTCCCTTAAACCACCTGTCCTTGGATAGGTTTGAGATATGTGGCGAGCCAGCGCCATAATCTTGTACCATTCATTGCTTGCAATAAACCAGATTGATGTCTTTTCAACATTTTCTAATACATTTGTAATGGCAGCAACTGCTACACTAGTGTTTTCCTATTTTTGTTCTTTTCTTAAAAAATGTGTAGAGAATGTCTTCCTCTACGAATGGATATAGCTGCAACAGTATGCAGATGTTGTGATTTACCTACATATTCGTATACACTGTAGGAGAGAAACTCTCTGAAAGAAATGTATCTGAACAAGTATTCATATTCAGTAAATTAATGTTCTCCAAATTAGCTAGGCATGAGTTAAAAACACAAGGAAATATGATATGCAATACACCGGCCTCCCCTTTGCCTCATATTTCTGAAGTGCACTTTACATGTGCTCTTCAAATGGTCCACTGTGGAATGCACAATACATTTAACAAGGCACAGACCAGCTTGTCCTAAATTAACAATTCAGACATACTATATCTGTGATTCACTACTAATACTACTTCATTTCTACTCCCTACACTACTTCTACACCTTTGCATATGTGTTAGAAGGTGACACACATATTTTCTGCTACTTTTGCTCAAGTGTTATTTTATTCACACACTGCTAACACTACTTAATTTATACAGCTTTACAAAAGTATTAAGAATGTAACTCACATATTTTCTCCTACTTCTGCTCGAGTGTTATTTTTTTTCACATATCGATGTTTGGTTACCCAACATCTATATATTTTAGCAACCATCACCTTAGCTCTCATGCAATGTATACAATAAATGCTCTTTAAAAAAAAAAAAAAAAAAGTCTGGATCCTTTCATTATAAAAGCTTATGTACACGAAGATTTGTACAGCGTTAGAAGCACTGGTCTTATATATACTTAAGTACAAGAATAAAGAAAGCTGCTACGATAATGGGAAGATGAAGGGATATTGTACTTCTGTGCTACACAGTAATTCATTGATCCTGCTGCATCCCTAAGCTGCAGATTGAAGAGAATCACAGACTGCTCTAACTAGCAGTATCCATTAATACTGTAATCCCATTCAGCACTATTTTCTGCTAACTAGTCTGTTCAAAGACATCAACGTATTACTCTGCATAAGAAGGTGAGGAGGTGTAAACAATTATACAAATGGCATCTCAACGCTTTGTGGTTCTTATTGAAAGAAAAATATGTAATACCAGCAAAGCCATTATTCTTCATGATTGCCATCAATCCCAGGATCAGAAGGCAACAGACTGTGTAAAGTTAACATTTCCTAATTCAATTCAAACCTTAGGCACATTCTTCTATAGCAGAAGTTGCTGTTAGAAAATGATAGGTTCACCGAGATGGTGGCGCCAGAACAGGGTATGACAGAGTGACATTGAGGGCATCATTGTGCTGCACCAGGGATGTATGTTGATAATGCAACACCAATTCTTTCAAAGACGAGTAAAGGTAATAGGGCTCAGCAAAGCCATATCCAGTGGTTGTCTTGTAGATAACGCAGTGCTTGGTATCACCGTCAACCCTATAAACAGAGGTCAGAATAAATGAGTTAATGAATCAAGCGATTAAGACTTTCAGTGCAGTGATCCACTGTGGTGTGTTAACACAGATTATGAGTGGGCTGCCAACACACCACAACGAACATACACAACCCTTTTTTTTTAAACAATGCAGCGCACCACAACACACGTCAGGTGTGTTACGGTGCAATGCACTCTACTGTACAGTATGTTGAGATGCCATTCACAGTGTATGGCACTACAACCATAAATATGCAAGAACTCGCAGGTTGTTGTCATGCACAAGTGTGAATGGCTCCTTAAACTTCTAGTTAATGGTACGGTTACTGGAGCTCCTAAAGGTTTGGTAGTGCCTAGCACAGATTTCTACATACAGGCATATAACTGACAATGACATTTCTAGAATGGCATGATTACCCTTTCAAATTCATTTAGCCTTAGAAAGAGGTGAACAGTATTTAACAAAACACTTGTTAGGGAATCAGGAACATATATGTACTGTAACATCACACTTACACCACAGAACAGGCATAACAGCCTTTCTGACGGCTCTCCCGAATCAGAAAGGTACCATTGGCCTTCCCAGTCAGCATCTCTTCAGCCTGCTCTCTTTTCATCTTTCCCATGTGCCAAGTCCTTTCTTCGTGGTGTGGGAGATCCTCCTCATCATCCATCATGGAGTATGGGCTGCAAGGAGCAGAAGTATGTCAAACATCTCTTTCCTAAAGCACACTTTAAAGTAAGGATGAACAACTTCAGATTTAGACTTTGCAGAGAATTTAAAAATGCCAAATATGCACACCTCCACTAAATAAGAACACGCCTTTGTCTCCATTTATAGAGTAACATAGTATCATATAGTAGGCAAGGTTGAATAAAGACACAGGTCCATCTAGTTCAACCTATGCCTTTGTTTGTTCTCAAGTAGATGCATTATTACCGTCTTCTGCAAGTGAGCAGGTAAGAAACTTTAAATTCATCATGTGCATTATATTTTAAAATACCCATGTCCTTATTTTTGTGCATTCACTTCCTTTCATTTAAAGCAAAATACCCCAGAAGATGGCATACAGTCCAAGATTATGGTGCAGACAGGATTGTGCCTAAACGGCAGCACAGTGGCTTGGTGGTTAGCACTTCAACCTTGCAGCACTAGTGGTCCATGGCTCGAATCCCGGCCAGGTCCCTGTGCGGGTTTCCTCTGGGTACTCCGGCTTCCTCCCACACTCCAAAGACATGCTGGTAGGTTATGCTACTCATGCTGCCCGCGGCGCCGCCGCTGCCGTCTTCACCGCTGCCGCCCGCAGTGTCTTTTGCGGCAGCGGTGAATAGAAGATGTAGCGAAGCGGGGGTGTGGTCTGCCAAGGGGTGACGGCCGTGATGCTTGTCGGGGAACTCCAATTCCCAGCAGGCAACTGAGGAGGGAGCAGCCGAGCAGGCCCGGCGGGATACATGCCACGCTGTAGGACGTCCTGGCTTGAGCTGGAACCTGGAGGCACAGAGTTCGGGAGCACAGCTCACAGCACATAGTGAGGAGATTCTGGAGGAGAGCTGCAGCAGGTCCAGGTAGGCACTGATTGTTCATTGCTGTATATGTGCTGAGTAGTGACAGTGTCTTGCACTGTAATTTTTTTTCCAACCAAAAACAATAAAATCATTTTATTATTTTTGGTTGGAAAAAAAATTACAGTGCAAGACAATGACACTACTCTGCACATTGCCTGCTGGGAATTGGAGTTCCCTGACAGGCCTCACCCCTTCTCTCTCGGCCCCCCCCTGAACTGGCGGAACACCTGGTCCTGGTCGCAAGTGCGACCGCTGCGACCCTGGTAGTTCTGCCAGTGATAAAATGCTTTAAAGTGTTATTAAACCCTCAGGTGTTGTTGCATATATGCACTGGCGGAACTACCAGGGTTGCAGCGGTCGCACTTGCGACCGGGACCTGGTGTTCCGCCAGTTCGGGGGGGGCCAGAGAGAAGAGGATGGCACAGCGAAAAATGCGATTGGCCGCAGCGGCTCTGATCGCACCTGTCAGCGATCCCTCTCTCTCCTCCCGGCCGCTGCAGCTTCAGAGCGGCCAGGAGGAGAGAGAGGGAGAGCAGACAGGTGTGATCAGAGCCGCCTCTCCGAGCAGAGGAGAGGCAGGTAAGTTCCTGCCCCCCTTCAGAAAGGTCCCGCCCCCCACCCTTCACGCCGGGTTGAGTAGACAGTGAGGGGAGAGCTGCACTCGCAGCCCTTCCTCTCAGCTGTCACAGGAGTTCTAGCACAGTGCTGTGCTAGAACTCCTGTATTGAGGGTGACAGATTCAATAAGGAGAACCTGTCACCTCCAAATGCTATCACACATGGGGCTTGTTAGCTCTTGTGTGATAGCAATAAAGTTAAGTGAAAAAAAAAATGGATTAATTATCAAATAAACATGAAAAAATAATAATGAAATTTATAAAAAGTAAAAGATAGTAAAAGAAAAAAAAATGTATAAAAGAAAAAAAAAGTGATAAAAAAGTTTAAAAAAAATTAGAGGTGCACAGATACGTCAATCTCTTTTTCTGTATCCCCTGTTATCAATGAACAGGAATCCTCTATACTGAGTGTTCCTGTCCATTCATAACATGAGGACATTGAGTATGATTACTATAACCACAATCATGAATGAACAGGAAGTGATGTAGATTACTTCCCATTCATTCATAATTGAGGATATAGTAACCATACTCTGTCCTCAATTATCTACACTCAGCGATCACTTATCAGTGACTGCTTGTACCCCGCTCTCCCCTCTGACACAAAAAAAAACCCCTTTCAAACCGGTTTGAAAACATTAATGGTTTCTTGCACCGGGGCCCTGAGGTTTCTAGTTACGCCTCTGGACTCATGTGAATGTGCTGTGTAAAGTGCTGCGTAAAATTGTCGGCGCTATATACATACCTGTATTAAATAAAACAGCAAGAATAATTGTCTCCAGCCAATTTTATTTTATTTAAAGATGAAGTGTAGTGTATGCTAAAAATGCCCTTGTCCTCCACTCTTATCTAACCGTCTAACCGCCTCCCGGGAGCTTCCTGGATGTAACAGGTGGCCTGTTAGCCCCGCCCATTCACGCGAGAGTGGGAAACTGCCTGGATTTAAAAACAGGCAGCGATGCCTGTTTACATACAAGCTGTCGCTTGTATAACATGCCCCTCCGTGCCCCCCCCCCCCCCCCGCCTGTGCG